AGGAAAAGACTTTTCCATAGCTATGTACAGAAGTAAATTACACAGATAGGTGAAACAAAATAGATTTTTCTTTATTCTTGTGATTGAGCACACACAGTATTTCCTTTTTTTGTACAAAAGTGGATGCAACTGTAACATAAAAAGCAACAGAGCTACACAGAACATAGTATGATTCTATCTCCTGTAGCAGCTTCTTTCCTAATCCTCTTCCAAATCCCTCACATACAAAGATAAATTCTTGGAATCCTGACATTAGGATTATTCTGGAAGTAAAACATAAGCTGTAATCTTTGCAAAGCTGCTCAGAATTAGGGCTGAGTGTCTGAGCATATCCATATCGCAGGGACCCACTGAGGCTCGTCCTGTGCGCGATGGACCAGAGACAGCAGCTGCGCCGACGCTTCCTGCAAGTTGTCGTTCACAATCACCTGATCGAAGAACTGACCAAACTGAGCTTCCATTTTCTTCGCTGAATCTTCCATCTCCTGTAAATCTTCTTCCTGCGAGACACAGAGTAAGGTTTAACGGTGCGGAGAGCAGCGTACCTGCACGGCCTCTGCAGAACACCTGGTGAACAGCTGGTGCCAGCGTAACTTCATTTCATTTGCAGGAGGTGTGCCTGCTGCAGGCACTTCCAAGTCCCCGAAGCAGAGCTGACTGCCACAGCCTTCCCAAGGAACCACCTTGTGTCTCGTTTGCCCCAAAAGGTTATTCTACTGACTAGTGCTGGCGGAGGATGTTAGTGTGTTTGTCTTCCAGTCCCTAACACTTGTGTTCTCATTGCACATTTTAGTTTATTCCCCCGGGGTCGGTGTTTCTGCCATAGCAATGGTGATTCATCTCTACACACAGCTATGGACTGAGGTCTCCAAAATTTTAAGACGCTGAATTTGATTATGATTTGCATTGAGACAATTGTGACAATGCACTAGATATTGTAAATACAGGATACGCGTTTCCTACAAGCAGGATTTATGTTTTATCTCTAGACCTTAGTACAGGAGTAGTTTTGATACTGTCATTAAGCACACAGGAAATAGCAGTGCGTTCTTATAACGACATGAAAAAGTATTTCTTTAAATTACTGAATGAAGTGCATTCCAGATAATACAAACAGCAAATGTACACATCAACTCCAATCTTGTCACCAGGCAGTTAATTAAAACCGTACAAAATAGCCTCTCCTTTAAAGACATTTTGAAACAAACTTTCTCGATCCCTAGGTATAAATTCCAACCCTTCCACTTCAAAGCAAATCTGGAGGTAGAAAAAAAAAAATCCAACAAATCAAATCAAAAAATACAAGAATAACTTAGATTTGAGCCTAATAACATAATAATCTTTAAGGAGTTAACATAGTAACATAGTAGAATGCATTAGTTCTAAACAGAGAATCCCAGAATAAACTGAGTCTCTTCTGCTCCCAGATCTCACCTTGAATTTCATGTTCACATAATAATCCGTGATGATCCTGGCATTTTTACGAGTCTGTCTCATGCAGCTTATGCTGCACGGCTTAATGAATATGATGTAGGGCTTTAATTCATGAGTCCGGGCTGCTTGTATGCCCTGAAAATTAAGAGTTAAAAGAAGTTAAAGTATTCCAAGGGCATTCATCCCAGTTTTACTCTCATTTAAAAAAGCTAATTTTTTACAACGGGCTGTAATCTCCAGGCCCAGCAGTAATCTTCTTCAGGAGCACCTACATTAAAATGCCCTCACTAATAATCCCTGGAGCAGACACTGTTAAAGCAATAGTAACACACCAATCAATTCTGCTTGGTAACCTTAATTAGAAGATGCTTTCAACTCCAGCGAGTGACTGGACATTGTCATTATCGGATCTCTACAATCAACAACACTGAAGCTGAATTTGAAATCCGAATTTTTTAACTGCTGGGGAGCTCCCTTTGGAAAAAGTACACCTTTATTGGTCCAGACTGGAAGGAAGCATCCTGCTTTGGGAAATCTTTGTGCTACACAAGATTCCCTGGTGCTAATAAGCATTCTGCAACTTCAGCAGAGCAGTGGAGAGAATGAGGAAAAAAGGGGAATAAAAACGAAAGAACTAGGGAGAAAAAGAATAAAAAGGAAAAAGTGCAAGCATCTTACTCCCAGCTGTTAAGTTCCTTCTGAGGAGAAATAAATGCATGACAATTTCCTGCTTTTGCTCAATTACTTTAGTAGTTGCTGCTTTTACCAAAAGATGTTCAGAGATTGCTAATTCAGGACAGAACTCTCAGGTAACAGGGCTCGGAAGAGGATATCCCACACAAAAATCCTTGCTTTAAGCAAGTATGAAGACTCATGTCTGTACCATTTCACCAGATAATGCAGCTGCTGACGTGGACACAAATCACAGATTCATAGAAACATCAAGGTTGGAAAGGACCTTAAGATGATCATCAAGTCCAACCGACAGCCCTGCACCACCCTAACACTGAACCCTCTCCTCAAGTGCCACGTCCAGCCGGTTTTTAAACACATCCAGGGATGGTGACTCCACCACCTCCCTCGGCAGCCCGTTCCAACGCTTCACCACCCTTTCGGTGAAGAAGTTTTTCCTCATACCAAATCTAAACTTCTCCTGGCGCAACTTGAACCCGTTCCCTCTTGTCCTGTGGCTATTCACTGGGGAGAAGAGGCCAACACCCGTCTCACTGCAGCTGCCTGTCAGGTGGTTGTAGAGAGCGGTAAGGTCTCCCTCAGCCTTCAGTGAACAATACTGATCTGTACACACTTGTCACTGTAGCATCACCCCCCAAGACCCACACGAAGAATAATCTATTATTAATAAGCACCGTAAGCCCAAGTGAAGAACACGACAAAGAAACTAACAGCGTTTCAACAGCTCAAGAATGTACAGACTATTATTATTCCTTCCAAGAGATTCAAACTCGAGATTCCCTGCCCCTTTACAACTCACCTGGGGTTCTAAATCTATGATGCAGATCTTGCCTTCATCAAGGACTGTTCGCACTGCGTCGACACTGGTACCATACAGGGACCCTTTGTACTCCCCATATTCCAGCATTCTGCGACAGCAGCAAGGAAGAAGAGAAATGAAAGAGCACTCGAGTCTGAAAATGGTTCTGTTTAAGGATGAAGTTTTCAAATGTAATTCAGTGATCGAGACGGAATGATCATCAAACATAGCGAACACTGCTGAACAACCTCCACCTTTGATCTTCCCTGCTAAATCAGAACCATTACAGTCGACACATTTCCAAAGCACACATTTTAACTCTTTGTTACAAGTTGTGTGTTTAGAGGTTGCGATTCTAATGATAAAATGCTTTTCATTTCTATAGCATCACTGACTTCATAAATCAGAATATCTCAAAACACCTGGCACAAGTCAAGGAGCTTCTAGCACTGAGCTGGTCTGTCTCAGAGGGATTACGGATGTGTAGAGAGGAGCAGATGCTTTTGAAAGTTTGGCCCTTACAGGTCACCTGTTTACGTGGAGATATGTCACCCCTGCAGAGATTCCGTCGGTCAGGAACAGGTCTGACCCAGCGCTCAGAAAGCAGTCTGCTTTCCAGAAGAGTTAAACTCCTAACTTACAAGCACATCAGATGAGCTCAGGACTAGAGATCCCACCTTCTTTTAGAAGGATCCCAAGGTTCGTTGTAGAGGAGTTTATTTGCGGCGACACACGTGTACCTTTTGAAGCAGTGGGATTAAGTAGTTTGTCCTGAATTTACATCAAACCGATGCCGTAAGAGAAGCCCAGACTTGGGACCTAACCACAAAACATTACATTTTACGGTAACAAAAGTGTAATTTGTCTCTCCTACTTACCTGTGGCTATACACCATGTTTTCGAAAGTTTCCTTTGATACGTAGTGATATTCACGACCATTCATTTCATAACTCTTCTGAACACGAGTGGTGTCTGAAAGGAGATACACACACACACACACGTATGAACTGCAGGTAAATTCTTGTAATTTTTTTTAACTAAAGTGAGACAACTTTCAAGAAGGACTATAAATCAGTATTGTCATAAGTAATAAAGTGAGTCATTTCCATTTGTTAATCCAGAGCAAAAGCCTCGTCAAGCAAAGCACATAAGTACTTCCTAGAGTGGAAGGAGAATGGTTTAGTCCCAATATCTGTGACTCGAACCAGGAACTGCTTTGGAACTGGTTATGCTTTTACTTCTTTGAGGGCAAAATCGATCAAAGCTCGTTTGGAAACATCCCACAAGCCTTCCCACACTCACACCTTCTCCATATCTGGAATCTTAAGCACAGAAGAATTCAGAAATTTTCAACCAACGTCAGTTTCATACATTTTCTGTTCGCTTATCCAAATCACAAGAACCAAATAAACACAGGTAGAAACAACTTCAGTTGCTATGTCAGGAATTAAGCTGTGTACGTCTCATCTGAGACTCAAAGGTTAATAAGAAAAACTGCAAAGCCTATTAAGCACCAAATTCTGTTGCCTTCACTCTCCTATAAGATCACTCAAACACTATGGACTTAAAATATCCCCAAGAAACATTCTTATTTTTAAATTCAGGAAATGGAAATATCAAAATTAAACACAATCATGCAGATATTATACCGCTACATAAAGCTTTAACGATCTCAAGAAATGTACTTTGAAAATACCTTTGACTGATTTGCCAAAATAAGGAGAAAGATAAGAGTTCCAACTAACCCTTTTAAAAAAGCAAATTACTCTGGCTGGCAGTAGAGCTTGAAAAAAAAAATTTAAAAACCTCACACCATACAGCAAAGAGTGTATGAAAACACAAAGGCGAGAAGGAGGTACTTCACGCTTCCTAATCACGTTTGAAGGAGGTGGCGGGGAAAGACAAATAACTACGTACGAGGTATGGCACTTTGAAACTGTCGTGGGTTACTTGCGATAAGCCTGCGCCTTAGCTCATTCACACCAACTCCCGCGGGACCTGAAAAGTTGGAAAAGTGACTAATGTTACTGAAAGAGGCACTTTTTGCATTCGCATTCCTCCATTTTCTAGATTTTTCTAGTCTGGAGTTTAATTAAAAAATATTCTCCTTACTGTTGCTGTATCTATGCATTTAACACTGGCTGTAGAAATGCCTCTGTGGAAAGATGTTTTCCAGTAAGCTACAAATATTTTCTCATCATTTCTGTACCAGTCTCAACTGAATATAAAACTGAGCCATTTCCCTAATAAAATTCATTACCAACCAGCATTCATAACTGTATTTAACTGTATAGCTTCTCCTAAGGACTCTGCTTTTTTTTCTTTTTTTGAAACATTCATTACGTCAAGCAATGAAGACGATACATACATTAAACTTTAAAATCAATACCAGGGTCTAATTATAGACAATCGTTCCTGAAATTAGTGGATGAGAAGCTGGACACGAGCTGTCAATGTGTGCTTGCAGCTCGAGAAGGCCAACCATACCCTTCAGTGGAACTGTGGCCAGAAGGTTGAGAGAGGCGACTCTCTCCTGCTACTCCACCCTGGTGAGAGCCCACCTGGAGCGCTGTGTCCAGCTCTGGGGCCCCCAGCACAACAAAGACATGGAGCAGGTCCAGAGGAGGCCACAAAAATGATCAGAGGGCTGGAACATCTCTCCTATAAGGAGCGGCAGAGAGAGGTGGACTTGTTCAGCCTGGAGAAGGCTCCAGGAAGACCTTAGTGCACCCTTTCAGTACTTTAAGGGGGCCTATAAGAAAAATGGGGACAATCTTTTTAGCAGGATCTGTCGCAACAGGACAATGAGTAATGATTTTAAACTAAAAAAAGGCAGATTTAAACTAATGAGTGGTAGGGAAACACTGGCCCATGTTGCCCAAAGAGGAGGTAGAAGCCCCATCCTCGGAAACATCCAAGGCCAGGCTTGATGGGGCTCTGAGCAACCTGTTCCAGTTAAGGATGTCCCTGCTCACTGCAGGAGGCTGGACTAGATCACCTGTACAGGTCCCTTCCAGCCCTGCGCGTTCTGTGATTCCATGAAACGTTGCTTTGAGAGCTGCCTGCACAGTCTGCAGCCACTGCCATGACTGGGAGGGAACCTTGGCGGATCAGACCACGACCGACTGTCTCCCCCGCTCCGTTACAGGTTAGGGAATTTGCATTAACCTCTTACCCACTAGTATAATTAGTCTGTTGCGGTCCGTCGGGTGCCGCTGGTACCTAACGACCTCTTCGTAGGGAGCTGCGAGGGTGCTGTAACAGCTGCTGGGGCAGCGAGCGTAACACGACTGCTGGTGGGCTCGGGACTTCCTGCGACACAGGCGCATACTTCTGCGGAAGCCAGCTGTAAAGGGGCAAAGACATCAGTGTGGAAAATCCGCCCGAGAGGCAGGCAGCTACTTCCGTAGTCTGGAATGTCTCTTTCTAAGCCAAACAACATACTGGGGGGGTTTTTGAGCTTTTTTTGCCAGGGTGCGAGTTGGTGAATTTCATTGCTGCACATTGAGCATTAAAAAGACAGCTAAAGAGGAGGTCAGATCTCACTGAAAGTCACCTGAAGATTAGCCCAGAATGACAGACCCCCAAAAGATCCCCCAAAACTAGCCAAAGGAGAAGTTTCTGGCCGCAGAAAGCGTCACTAGAGAACAGCTTGGCCGTTTTTTTGATGGGGTGGCTGGTTCACTCTCCTAAAGCATTTACTCCAGCCTCCAGAATGAATCCAAGTATTTGGAAGGTCACTATGGTTTAGTTACAGGGATAGGTTTGTTGCTCCACCTTATCCAACTCCGGAAATTTCACTTTTAGTTCTACTTGTCTCATGAAAATCCTTATGTTTATCCTCAATGGATGACAGACAGCACTACAGTCTAACAAAATTAATTGGGAAGCGAAATCTTAACAGCCAGTCAGGTCGAAATAGTGGTGGCCATGTCTCAGTAGAAACCAGGAAGAGAGATTTAAAGGGAGAGAATTGGCATTAGCAGGGGGAAAGCAACTTCTAGGAGGTTGGAAAACAGAGCAAGTAGAATTCAATTCAGTATTTGGGTGAAATAAAGAACAAAGCATTTTATTTTTCAGACAAGCATTTAATCTAGGTCAAGCCCCAGGCAGCTTACTTATCTTTAGTCAGTGCGTACCAATAAAGACTCGTTGTCCAAATTCACCAAATTCTTCCTCTTCTATAATATGAAGAATAAATACTCGTGACATCAAAAAAGAACAGTGAAAGCTTAAGAGCTAGATGGGTAACAATTATTGCCGATCCAAATGAAAAACAGTGTTTCAGTGAACACATGGAAGTACCACGCATAATCTAATTTTAAAAAGCACAATACTCCGTAACACAAAATATTCACATATTCCACAAGAACAATAAACAATTCAAAGGACCAATGCTTCTGTAAGGTAAAAATTCAACTTAGAAAGTCTTTCCTTGCTAAATTAGATTTGAAACTTAGCATTTTATTTGTTTCATTCCTAAGAAAAGTAGGAATCCAAAATAAAAAAATTAAATATAACTGTTTCTGCAGAAATAGCATGCTTGGAAAACGAAATGTGCATCTGCTCAGATCTTTCAGGCAGAATGAAGACGTGACTTCATTATTTCTTAACCACCTTTAGATCAGTGATATCCATCCTCCAACATCCCAGACTAATCTGTCTGCTCCAACTCTTTTTGTCCCCATTCTCATGCAGTTCCTTGGGAAGGTTTAACCATTTGGGTGAGCCTCCTAAAGCTCTGTATGTATTTTCTGTAAATGAAATCTCTCCTAAAAGGCGCAAAAATACCAATTTCTGAATAGCTCAGTGCTCTAACAGTTTAGAAACTATTTTGTAAAGTGATATGAAAACTAAGGGGGAAAAAATGGTGTACATTTTGATTTTTCTTCAAAAAGAACTCCTGATTTTCCCCTAAGCACGCGGGTAGTTATCCAAGCTGTGCATTCCCTTCATTCAGGTCTTGTTAAAGCAAGAACAAGATGCAGGGGACACAGGCATACCCTTAAAGGCAGTAATCATTCCAAGGCAAGAGCAATATTTTCATTTGCAAAGCACCAAACGTACCGTCTTTCAGCACTAGTTTCTTTGACAGTTATAATTGTGGCAAGTATCAAAACAGAATTTGATGCATTTTAGTTACTCTCACATCTTATACGCTCTTCGCTATTTGTTCCTTTAAAATACAGTTTTGCTCTTACATTTCTTTACGTTCTAACAACTCCTTGTTTGATTATAGAAAAACCTACTTGGCACAAAACTGCTCAGGGCCGAGGTCAGAGTACTGCTCAGCCTGTGTCATTTCTATCTTCAGCTCTTTTGACCCATCATTCAAACCTCTGAGCATTTCTGCTTCATCTACCTTCTGGAGCACAGCGTGGAATCCTACAGGGAACAAGCAATTGAGCTACTCGGTATTGTAAGAGGAGTGGTAGCTCCTGGTTAATACAATAAAGATAGATAAATTCTAATAGATTACTGCTTACAGGAGACAAGGGGAAAAAGAAAAAGTTTATGTTACCTTCTTTAAGCTCTTCTGCACATTCAGGTAAGAGACAGACAAAAAGAATTAGTTTTGAGAAGACAGTCTATACTAATATTAAAAAAAAATAAAAATAATCCAACCAGCATCATCCAGCGCATCTAGGAGACAGGTGCTGCAGGCTTTAAAGCTACAATATGCTTGTTTGAGCGTGAATTCTCAGTTCTCAAAGAACGAGGGGTTCAGCTATAGCATCCGTGTCAGTATTGTACTTGCAAAATACATCTCACAGATGTTGAGCTACTGGTTAAATTAACAAGTCAGACAGCACGTATTTACACCTTTATTTCTCTGTCTGTCTGGATACAGCAGAAAACTGACTCAGCACTGAGCAGTGAGTAGGATTTGCAAGAGTAATCCCATCCTGCTGCTGGTTCTGCCTTTAAAGCTTCGGGCATCGCTTGGGAGGTGGAGCAGAACAAACCACTTGTGATAAGAGAAGATCCTACCGTAGCAAGTAGGACCCTTGTGGAGAAGAGCAGGTGGAAAGTGGAATGTTCTCCCCACGGCTACCAAACATCTCAGACAAGAAGTTGAGCAGCAGCAGATTTTTATTTTAGTAGAAAAATTATTTATCTTAGAAGACTTAAACCCCAGTGTGCCTACAGTCAATCAGTGCCTTTTTTTTTTTTCCATTTTGCCCCCCAGGTCTTATATATAAATCATTAATTTTATAAAAGCATTTTTGTTTCCTGTGTGCCAGCCATGCACACAATTAAGAACTCAGACCAGCTCTCTCCTCTTTCCCACATCACCTCCTAAGGGGACTGGGAACTCAGGCTTCCGTTAACCTCAGGTAATCCAATTATCCACTGACATCAGCGCAGTCCCTGCTGCCACAGCTCGCACACGTACACTGATCAGGATTGGATAAACAGACCTGGTACTGATGCACAAGAAGAAGCACTCACGCGTGTGAGATAGCAGGACCAAAACCTTACTACTAAGGTAATCAGAGAGCAAGAGGAAGTCTTAAGGCAACGGGATTTTACATAATGGCTTTGGAAGGCAGAATGGCTTCTAAAGCTAAAACGTCATTCTGGTTTCTGTCCCCTGCTTGTTTTTAAGACATTTGCTTGTCTCTGGACACCTCTCTTGCAGCAGGGCAATAGCAAGGAATTTAGAATTAGCTTAGAAGAACTTACCAGACTCAAATGTTTCCTCATCTTGTTTAGTAATCCAGATAGCAAAGACATTAAAACAAATTAACAAGGTAATTCTTTTCTTCCTATAGAATTTTAGAATCAGAAATCAATATTCCGGCTCCCATCAGTCTGTCTCACACGTACTTTCCCCACTTCCCTCCACACCAAGTTAGCAAATTAGAGTTCACCCTACTTGAATGAGCTGTCTGCCCTCCCACGCAGTCCTACGGGATCCCATCCCTCCACGAGAGCTTTCTGAACTACCTCAGGAGAAGGAAGAGGGAACTGTGTCGCTTTGGGGAGCAAGTCAAGCTAAGAGTCTTCACATGGACTATTTACATCTAAAAACCTATTCCGGCTCAGCACCTAAAAACAGTCTCCAGAGCCGTTTCTCAGCAAGGAATCGCGTGGGTTCTCCAAGACTACAATCATCTACGGCATTAACTCTCCAACGGGTAAAAAACTCCGGTAACATTACAGCCACAGTCCAAATCCTGCATCAAATAGGCTGGATCTCATTCAGGCAGATATTTTTGGGGGTGGTCCCTCTTTCTGGCACAACATTATGAACACTGTACACCACAACTGCAAACAGCTCGTTTTAATACACTACTATAGGATGAAAAATAGAATTTTCTACCATTAAATTCACTAGAGGGAGTGTTTTTATCTGGGAAGCAAAATGAGGCTTGAACTAGCAAATACCTTGAAGAAAATGGAATAATCTCAAGTGAATTTGGTTACCTGTTTCCACACACTTCTCATCAATCTTCATGTCATCCTCTAGAGATCAACGTAAGGAAAAAAAAATAAAAATCATCTAAATCAGAAAAATGCTAGGGAGGAAAAAATCTTTACAGATCTTACAAGACTGAACTCAGGTATCAGAAAGAAAATATTTGAAGCGCAGATCAGCTTTAGACACCTTTAAGGACTTTGTTAACTCCAACTTACTGATGTTGCCTGTCTTTAGTGAGCAAAAGTCTCCTCTTTAGAGCTCCAGAGGGCTTGTGGCAAACACATCTAACTTGAATTTTCCTTTTGAAATAATAAAAATTTTAACACGGCTGTCACTCTCTTTCTGTGGAAATTTAATTACTACGCGTTACCGCGACAGAATACAGTTTTTCACTCGCTCCTTTCTCTCCTGCAGCTTTTAGAAGTGTGTCTCTTTACAACACGCTTCACTCAAAGTGCTTTGTTTGCTTGATTTTATTATTATGTTAAAAAAATAATAATAATTATTCGACTCCCTCTCCATCAGTTCTCGTCCTTGAAATGTAATTTTGTGGGCTCGGGTAATCTCATGGTGCACAATACTGCACTGTTTGTGTGTTGAGCTATTTTCCAGTTACAGGACAAGTGTCAGGGCATTTGTCAACCAGATTCTGCCCATGTGTATCCTTTAAAGAGATCCTCTCTTGGAGCTGCTCAGGTCAGCTGCTGAAGACGGGAGAGAAAGAGGGAGAGGAAAAGAGAAAGAGGAAATCCAGTGTTTTCCTCCTCAAAGCAACCCATCCAGACTCTGTTCCCCACCAGGTAACGCATTGCTTAAGTTTCCACTTTCAGGCAACATAAGCTTCTACTATTTCAAGTGAAAAGTGGCTTGATTTCAGTTATGCTAAGCACACAAAATGCCCAGAGCTTGGGCTTCTTTTGCATGCATTAACCAAAATGCCTCACAGCTTTAAAAAGCCTGTAAAGCCATGTGCTATATTAATTCCAGGTACAGGAATGCAATGTTGTCCAGATACGATCTCCTACCTTCTTCCACAGTGCTTACTGCCCACGGCATATCCATTGAAGCAGTTAAAATGCAATAAAATTTTGGTGAAAGAGAGCCCCAGCTCTAATGAACAAAGCAATCAGTGCAAGAAGAACCCTAGGCAGTGAAACACACTCAGTCCGGGAGTTATCACGAGAGAAAAATGAATTTTATGCTAAGTATAAAGAACTGTAGAAGAAAATGAGGAGAGAGAAAACGGGAAGAACATCCTTTGTCTGGGAATACTTGCATGTTTACAGAAAGTTATAGCTGGCAGAGGATAATGCCACCACAAAAATTCACGGGTATCATAGCTTATCTTACACCTCAAGGAAGGAGGTTCTAGCTTTCTTTCCAGATTTTTTACGACAAAGAAACATTCTAAACATATCACATGGCAACTTCCAGTGCAGAACTGTCATCTGTGTCCCTAGAAAGCCAGGCTACTGCAGTTGTCACCTCAGGACTTAGTCACATCCACTTCTCCTAGGAAGGATTGGCTCTGCAGAATTGCTCCTAGATCTTAGGGACTTCAGAAGGAGTTGAAGTCACAGTTTCTTTCACAGTCAGATGCCAAGTACACTGGAGACAACGACCTCCACCAGCAGTACTGGAGGTGCAACTACTATCAAGTTTTTATTTTCCTGGGGACAGGAAAATTTCTGAGGTTACAATACGGCTCCAGAAACAATGTTTTTGAATTTAACCAAGTTGTATGAGCTTGTATTGCAGTACCCCTGGGAACAGGCAAGACCTTTCTTTCCTACACTACCACTCAAGTAACTTTTCACTCACACATTGATGATTTGAGACAGAGATGGGGCTGGAAAGGCTGAGACCACCAGAATTCCCGCTGCTTCCTACATAAAAACAAATTTCTCACAGTTACAGAAACAAAACACAGGCACATCATGCTCCAGTCAGGTTCACTGCTTACGCGTAAGATCAGTAAATATTGAGCCGCCAGAAGACACCAAGAATGGATCTATCACCGACGTTTTAGCCCACTTCAAAGTCTTGAAAGTAGGCTGACGTGATCAGAACTGAAGGCAATTTCCAAATCAGCAGCCCCAAAAAAGTACTGAGAGGATTTTGCACTTAATGCATAAGGACAGAAAGATAAGGCATACTGTGGAAGCAGGAGAGTGTGCTGCTGGGGGTAGCAGTACTCCTGCCTCCACCACTGCACAAACCCTCTTCGCTTGCAGCCTCTGTCACAACCTTCAAACCACAGAGGATGGTCCTCAACAGTCGGGGGCCCCTTAACTTCCACCTGCTACGCTCCAGTAGATGTCTTAGCAACTAGCTCAGGGACTAGGCAACGGCTGCAAATGTCTTGGACGTCAGTTTAAGATGCTTTTAAAAGCTTGTAATACAGAGGCACCCTTGTCGTACACAGGTACCCTTTAAAAATTCAGCAAGAATTTGGAGAACAGAAAGACAAAAGACATTTGTCAGATGTCACTCGGTCATACTGGTACAGAACTTACGAGAATTTTAAATAGCAAAATGTCTGAATAACCGGCTAATTTTTGAACTGGAAATCAGAAAAATTAAGACTGTTTTACCTTTTAAGAAGGTGGTTTGAGGGTATAAGTCCAGCACAGGCACTGAGATCCGAAACCTTCCTGGCCTGCCACCAGAGAGCATCATTCTGGTCCACAATCTGCAGTATTTCACCCTTCTTAAAAGGCAAACCTGCATCAGCACATGGTATGGCAGGATCCTGCAAGGGCCAGTAGTCTGCCATCGCTCGCACATAGAGCTGGGGAAGAAAATATACAAGAGTAAGGCATGTTTAGAACAGAAACAACACGGGCTTCATAATCCCAGGGCCAGATACTGCCGCTGCTTCATCCATGATGAAGTGTTAAATACTAGATCAAGCCCCAAATCCTCGCTGTTCATTAAGGGAGGGGAAGAACAAACCAACCAACCAACCCAAAACTGTCTCATTCTCGCTGAAAAAAATTGACCTGCAACCTGTAACTCACTCTGAAAACGTCTTCGTCACCTGTAACACAACTCTATTTCAGCACACTGTCCTTACTGCTTCCGCAGCAATGTGTTCATGCCAGCGGGCAGGTAACACTCGAAGGACTGCGCTGGAATTCTAAGCAACACTCTTTCTGTGTATCACACCATTCCACGTTACAATCCAGAAAAAAAAAGAAAGAAAAAAAGTCTCTTACTGTTGTTTGGTTGCTCACAGGTCGATCAGAAACTGGAATTAATTTGAACATAATTGTCCCCTGAGACAGGGCCTGAACGATTAGAAAATTATTAAAATATGAGAGGTAATCAACACAAATAACCAAACACTGACAGCAGAAGCTTAAAAGAGCATGGCTTTGAGGTTACTGTAATGTCCATATTACAAATAGATTTTAGACAGACTTAATCTGACAATATTGTGGGTTTTTTCAAAAGACAACTTAAGAATGGAACTTCAAAATCTTGCCAAACATTTTTATTCTACGAAATTTACGTTTCTTTACAAATATATAACTTCAACATTAATTCATGCTAAATCTTTCTACTGACATCTAATTTGAATTAGCAGCAGGGTTTAGTTTAGGGTTTAATTTAAACTAGCAGCAGACAAATGATGTAAAGGTGGGAGGAAAAACTATAAATATGTCAGAACTAAGCACTCCACTAAGGTTTGTATTTCTTATACTTAAGAAATAGTACAACCAGGGAAATAACACCTAGAAAGACTCAATACTGATTACATCAATACGTTACGGACCGGCACTAACAATTTGCAGTGAAGAACCCTGCCAGGTTGTGGGTAAAATGACGAGTAAGTAACAGGGATAGCTCAGCAGAGTTCTTCATGAAAATTTTGACAATTTTGAAAGCTTTTTTGCTGTCCTTTTTTTGCAAAGAGAGGCATGTAGCTGACAAGCTCACTCACTCTGCTTTAGTGAATTTTGTAACACGGACTCTTATCGGAGCAGCATCTTTCTACTACTTCCTTAGGTAATGTTAACCCAGAGGAGCTTCCAGAAAAAACAGGAATCAGTCAAGTCTGAATAAATTAGTATTTTTCCCAGAAGCTGCCGGTGGAATAGTCACAATACGTTACTTTTTTTATCCAGAACAGGGGTTAAATTTAATTCTAGTTTCAAACACTTCTATTTCATGAGTAGTTGTGAATTTCATCCACAGTAGGGAAACACCATGAGTTTTCTGCTACAAATTTCAGACTTCCTCCTCTAAAAGCATGTGCGTGTCTAAAAGAAACAGCACGCAGTTACTCTTAAGGTACAAAGTCGATAACATATTTCAAAAAGATTAAATACCAGAATATTAATAACTTGCTCCGGCTCAAGTCCCTCAACAGGAACTCCATTTACTTCCACCAGTTTGTCTCCAGCATACAGCAACCCTGCAGCGAAACAAGGAGAGCGGCAGTGTTACCCCGGGTAGGCGAGGCAAGGAGGCACAGACACACCATGGTTCTGGAAGGCGGCGCTAGAAGTTTCGCTGTACCAAGGATGCAGGGAGGCAGTTTGGATTTAGGCTATATTGCCCCCGGACAGGACTGCAGGCTTCTGTGGGTCACAAGAAGCTCGTACGCTTCAGTTCTGGTATCTCCCCCCACTTCCCACACACAATGCGTTTACAATCTATTGACGATTTGCCTTAAAAGGAGCCGAAAAAAATATAGCTCCATTTTCCAAAGTAATTCGTGAGCCTGTTCTAGCTAAACCCATTATGTAACAGATCATGAGACTCGACATCAGACCCTTAAAACTTCCAGGTGCAGAGGGAGACCTCAGGACTCCTCTCTATCCTGTATGAAGTCTTCTCAATATCGTTTACTTCTGCCTTTTCCTTCAGCTCAGTTAAAACATTAATCAAGCCAGGAACTTAATTAGCCATCGTTTACACTTTGTGTTTTCTTCTCCATGCAAAGGCCAGAAAATACTAAAAGGAACTATTTTATAATTATTACAGTCCAGCTTTACTTCTGCTGTTTTACATTTTAGTTACACCTCCCAAGGAACACATTCAATTCTAAGAAGACAAAGTAGAAACATTTTCAAGGAAACTCCTTGGAAGATTGCTTAGCAAGTAATGCTACTACTGTGTTTAGTAGACACTAGTGCCAAAAAGTATTACTATATATTCCTTACAGCTCCTTATCTTAGAGAATCACAGACTACTGTATGTGTTCCATTTCCCCATTAGGGCATGAGCTGCTGGCATTCGTACCACCCTGCAATTTGAGATGTTCCCAAACAATCTCACGACAGATTTATTTAGGTAATGGTGCCAAGAATACAGAATGAAAATTGGATTTGTACCTCGACTCCGTTTTAATCATAGCATATTCCTACGAAAATGAACGAAACCAGAATCCAAGGCACCGCAACTTGTCGCTATTTCCGGTGTTGCCCAACGCACACGTCCTTCTTGCTCTATAATGGAGGACTAACTGGAGAAGCTGTTATCTTACGTCAAACACCTTACTCCAAGTTCAATTTTTTGGTACCGCTTTGTTTCAAATCGTACATACCACTTCTGTCTGCCAGCCCACCGTGGATCACACGGGCAACCGTTATGTCACCCGTTAGCTCGTGGCGCTTAATGGTGGCACCCTGGCAATTGAAAACAAAGAAAAAACGCGCTCGTAACTGAAGAAGCTCACTGAGTTTCCTTTAGCATCACAAGTCTGATCTCTGCAATGACAACAACACTTGGAAAGACACAACATTTTGAACACCTCACGGATCAAGTGATACCGTATAATTGTCAGTAAAACGTCCTTCAACCTCTTCAACTTCCATCACGCTAACCTCACACCTCACTGACTGGTTGTGAAGAATCTTTTCGATCTCAGATATTACAGCTATCTTGCCCTAAAACAGATTAGTTCAGCTATGCAATGTTTTCTCCTTATAAGCACTAATCATTTCTAAAGAACTTTTCAGAGTCTATCCTCCCTTCCTTTCAACTTTGGTCAAGGGAATAGGTCTCAATCCAATTTGCATTTTCATTACACGAGATATAAAACAGCGGCCAAATGTCCAAATGCCGAGCGGACAAGGCCCCGAACACCCTGCTCTAGTTGTAGCTGTGCTTAGTTTCCTAAGGCCCTTCCCAACCCCAACAATTCTTGCGATTCTGTAAAAATCAGACAAGAACGCACACAATCTGTGACGTTCCTGGAAAGAATATGCGTGCGATGCATTATCAGTGCTCGTAATCTGTGACGTTCCTGGAAAGAATATGCGTGTGATGCGTTATCAATGCTCGCGTGAGCTAAAATAATTTGAGGCAGACGGCCGAAGGCTTCCTCACCAGAGGCTGGTTGTTTTTCACTAAGCAGACAATCCTCATGGCTTCCTCGTTTTCAGGTATGTTGTCTGGCAGCGGTGGAAGGACGGGTTCGAAATCCTTCTGGGCCACAATATCATGAGCAGATAACAAGGCCTATTGCAAACGAAAATAAGCAAACCAACAACCGACCCGTAAGCAAAGATCGTGCAGGAGAACACCTTTAAACAGTGACTGCCGGAAAACAGACGTGAGCGAGCAAGTTCCTATGTGAATGCAGATCCCTTTCACATGTCGGCATTTTCCTCTTTCCACTCCGAAATGAAGTTTTAAGTTCCTCTCTCTGCTTCTTCTGGAAGATTTACAAAAGATGAAACCCTGAAGCTCTGTGGTAAAGAATGCAGGTTTTGCAATTACAAGGAAAACTTAGTTTTACATGTCTGCATCAACCGCTCAGAATTTAACTTTGTAAGAAATCCCTCTCTCAAATATAGCCCTTAATTAAATTGCAGCCCACTGCAGGTACTGCAGACACACGGCCCGCACGCGATTTCAGTTAGCTCATGACTAGGAAGCTGCGCCTTTTTCGGTTCCTTGGCCAATTGTTGGGAACACCTGGCCACGGGTTTCCATTCCCACCGCAGACAGCTCTGCCAGCAAACTTTCTCTTTCCTGACGCAGGACTTGCCTTGAGGTGTGAAGCACACAGCAGTTGTCTTAGTTCCTTGATCTCTCCAGACTGAGGGGCTTCACGCAGTAACGCTACCACCTGGTAAGGAAGAAAGAAAAGTAAGAGAGAAAGCACAGAAACTGGTTCTGGAGGACAATGAATTTAGGAAGCTCTACATGCAATCGAGAGGAATGGTGAGTGCCGACCCCCCGCGTTATCCATCTCCGTGCAGTTTGCTTTAGAACTGGACAATACGACCACAGGGGCACAACGTTCAGTCGGGCTTAACTTAGTTCAGGCACAGTGCCATGCGCTCCAAATGACTTTTTTTTTCTCCTATGCCTCCACCAATTCCAGCACTAGCGTCAGCTTCTCCGCTTAGTGATTAACTCTTTCACCAATTCAGAAATTTATTAATTAACCAGCTGTTACAATTAGGAAAATCCAAAAAGCTTTTCCAAAGCCTTAAATCAGGCTGCTCGATTGCAGCCCTCACACTGAACCACAGTCACCGAGCAAATAATAAATACATACAAGGCTAGTGGTTAAAACAAATAAATGGTGTGTAATGAACATATGGTGCACGCAGTCTAGCGAGCACAGCCGTACACATTTCTCACCCTCCCACTTCTCTTAATGCAATAAAAGTTAATGCAATGAAAGCCGAGCTGACTGCTGTGGCATGAATGAGTAAAGCAGCACAGTCCGTGTACACAGTCCTACCTCACGATTCAACGCGCGGGCCTGCAGGGTGACAGGAACCGGTCTTTTTCCCAGATAGTGTTGGAGGCATTCATAAATCTATGGCGTGCCAAGACAAAGCAAAGATACCACGATCTGTTCACGTGATTACATAAATACATCCACAACACATACTGGACAATATTGCATTGCTAAGGTTTTTTCAGCACAACTAGAGCCAAAAGGCTTGCAATCTCAATTCTTAAGGTCTAATGCATCTAGAATTAAGTCTATAAGTCATCTTTCCTTACTACCAGTCAGCCAGTTATGCTGTTGTTTTGAATTTTCCAATATGAAAAAGTTGGTTACACAGGACAATAGCCTGAGAACGCCAATACTCTGACTTGTAGCTTGCTTCCTTCCCCTAGTTGCAGGCATGATCAACAAAGTAAATTTAACTTAAAATAAATTGCTGTATTTAAAATAGCTTTAATGGACATACTTATCCACCACAAGCTTTTCTTCTTTAAAATTTAAAGATTGTAAACCAACTTATTAAAGCAGAAATTGTGCAGAATTTGTACAGAATTTGTCTAAGAGATCCAATTTTCCTTCAAGAGAAACACACCAGTCAAAACTCTGTTCTGTAACAATATAAAATCTTCAACTATGCATCACATCAGCACAGAGGGGGGAAATAATTCACAAGCATACATGCCAGAACGTGGGATGTATAGCCACACAGAAAATGAAGATTAGAAAAGACAGCTGAGCAGTCTGTGTTCAGCTCACGTCTCCATCCCCCTAGCCTTACCACGAGGGAGTAAAGTAGAATAGCTTTAATGCCTGGGACATTATTAAAGAGATTTTTTTATTTTTTTTTTTAAAGCAAAAGTGGTTTTGTTCACTTTAACTGCTGATTTTAAGACTAACTTAGGACTACCAGCCCTTAGTGTAAATAAGTATTTATTGTCCTGATGTGGCAAAATAAAGGAGCCATCCCCTAGAGATTGTTCTCTAGAAACCTTTGCCTTCAGAGCTGAATTTTACTTTACCTTTAAAAGTGCTTGCAGCCAGCGAGATCTGAGCAGGTCATATAACATACCAACGCCATTGACATCTCTTTTACAGAGCAAACTCAGTTCTTGTAGCACTAGAGTCAGAACATGAGATATACCTGAGTCCAAGAAACAAAAAAGCGCAGGACAATTCAGTACAAACAGAAGACCAACCAAAACCAGTGACCCAGGCATTTGAAAAATCACCTTTCTGCATTTTATACTTCTAAGAAGCGCGCTCCTTGCCTGCTTTGCTTATTTCCTGCAATCAAGTTGGTTGCCCAAGAGATTTATTTTATTATTAACCAGCAGGGTTAGGTTTATACTAGTCTGGCCTCAACCTCATGCCTCCTACTGAGAAGAGGTAAACATAAAAAATTGTCTTGTTCATTTGACAGGCTTCTCCTCTGGATGACCCACTGTGTTGGGCCAGAGAATATCTGTTTTCTCTCCACTCCTGAGAACCGCAGACATTTTATAGAATATCGCTACCGAAAACACAAATTCCTGCCAAACACATAGATTTGTCAGACCCCCAACACCACATCCCAGGAAAAGGGAAGAATTGCTGCGAATAGAAGCAGCACTTGAGCTGTTAGGAACAGAAGTTAAGAGGTGACAAATAAGTAAAATGTTACACATAACCGGGCCTAGACAGAAACTGGATTTTTGTGAGCGCACAGATTTTAAATCTACCTTAGAAATGAGAACAAATCTTTTCTGGTATGTAATACTCTTCCCAAGAGTTGGGTGTCTGGCTCCCACTGCATGTCAGAGGGAAGTAGGTTCTCAACCTACTTATTTTCGTAAGCACGAGCTGTCTCTCTTGCTTTTTAGTGTCTAAGTAATCATATAGTACAGTCGTAACAGGAGAGTTCCCTTTATAATTATTTGTTAAACTTGACACGTTTCAACGAGAAATACTGTAATAAAAGAAAAGTGCTGTCCTGGTCTGAGGTGAATGGAACCTGTTCATAGAATCATAAAGGGTGGAAAAGACCTCTGCGATCAAGTCAACCCAACACCACCACGACTACTAAAACACGCCCTGAAGCCACCAAATTCTATTCTGTGATTTTACTTTTCAGCTCAGTCTCTTCTAAAAGACTTTCTGAGGTTTTTTAGCAGCAGGTTTTTGCTGACAGTGCGTGCTGCTGGCAGTGATAACACCTGGTGTTACAGCCACTGCCTGGCACTGGGATGCAGAAAGGCTCTGGCTGATACTTATTCCTGCAGTGCCCAAGGCCACTGCTGGCTCCTGTGTACCACGTTGGGGGCGCCGGGGAGTAAGAGGGGTCACAAGGAAGTAAAAGGTTGCACCTCTAGGGGGTAACAGACAGGACAGGTGACCAACGAGAGTGTTCCATTCCATATGTGTCTTATTCAGTATAAACTGATCACAGGGGTTAAGCCTCTCCTTCAACGGCTGTTGTCCAAGGAGGACTCCATCCTTTCCTCTGCCTTTGATCATGATCCCGAGTTCCCAAATCCAACTTCCAGTTCCCCTCCTGCTGCTGAGCCTGGGACTTGCTGGGACTCTGCAGCATCGGTGGTGACTGCTATTGGGGGGTGGGTTTGATATTGGTGTTGTATATATTTGTACGTTTCATTATTTCCTCACTATTATTGTTCTATTAAAGCTGTTTCAGTTTTCCAGTCTGTAGAGCCTCTGTGCTTTATTCCCTTTCCTTTGCAGCGGGGAGAAAGGTTAAGAGTGCATCTGCCCATTCCTTTAGTGGTCAGCTGAGCCCCAAACCTCAACAAATGTCGAAACACTACCAAGACATTAGGAGATTCTAGAGTTACATCAGCCGAAGTCAAACCAGTAATTTCTTAAAACTAAAGCTCATCCCTCAGACCCAGAAGAGCTGAGTACTCTCTGCTACAGACAATATCATCAGTGGCTATCATCCAGTCACCACGGCTAAGCTTTTTCACTTCTCTCCCAAGCGCAATTTTTAGAGCCATTGACAGGTTTCCTATATCAGCCCTAGACCTTGATGTTACCAACACTTACGCGAGATCTATCTTCAGCTTTAGTTTCGCTGAGGTATTTTCCTTATGCTTGAATTTATACAGGTCCTTGCCTGCTAAGTTTCTGCAGATGGAACGTTTACCGTAATCATCAGGCAGAATTATCGAGTATCTAAACTGGGAAAGCTTGGAAATGTACCTCATTATCGAGAGAATCATCTGTTTTCGGAAAGGAGACATCTAAGGGCTTACAAAAAAGGTAAACTCAGTGAACCTTGTGAGCCCTATAGGGAAAAATCTCCCAAAACATGGTTTTCTTACAAGCATTCTCTTCGTCAGGAACTTCCAAGTGCCTAAGAGAACATTACCTGTGGTGCAGACACTTAAGATTTTTTCCTCCTTACTGGTTGCCTCTTTTTGAGATGATTTGTACTAATTAGCTCCTAGAATGCTATCCCTATATCAAACTGGGCTCAGTTAGACCAAGACGTTCCATGCAAAAGCACAAACTTTCAAACTACAGAGAATAATTTCCTTAAGCAAAACCAACCAACCAAAACTACAAAAAACCCTCTTAAAAGTTACTCCTTATTCTTGATACTGCTGCAGAGACCTTTGACTTTATAAGCCAGTAACAAATGCCAGGTATTCTGTTCCGGTACCACCGTTATAACAGCAAGAATCACTCCAATTATTAAGTAGCGATACTTCTAGACGTGACTCAATGGAAGAAGAGTTGCAGACACCGAGGAATAAAACCGTTTGTCAGTTTTTGTTCAAAGGGATGTGAAACTCATGAGTACCATTATCTTGACTGCAGGCTGTTGGCACCTCCATCGTTTCCTTTATTCAAGGAGATTCCACCCACTTCTCCGAGTACTGCATTCGCCCCAAGCAGGTTTCACAAAGACGCTGAGCTAGGAAAAAGAGGACACTCGTATCAAAGTAGTGCCAGGTATTTTAGATTGGTAAGAAAGGAAAAATTAAAAGAAGGGGGGCAACCGCTCATATTTGAAGTGCACCACAAGCATAAATTAAATAGAAGAGTCCCACCTATAAACACAGTTACTGACCAGCACCCAAAATACAGAGAGATTGAATTTCAATTGCAATACAACATTTTATTTCCTTCATGGAATTCTCATTAACTTGCTTCATTATACAAGTTATTTGGATCCTCTTCTGCTCCTCAGCCTTTTTATGGGCACTACCATGGAAAGGCATAATTTTTTCCCCGCAGACTTTTACAGCAAGCTTTAGGTCAATATAGCTCGGAAAATAATCATATCCAAGAACATACATTTAATTCATCCTGTTATTGACACAATATTAAAAAACAAAGACTCTTTGAGTTTCTACTGAATTTTCACTGACCAAAACGGGAACCCCTGTCTCTATCTCCGTTAGCATTCAAGGTCTTTGACGGATTTGTTCCACAAAGATTTCATTATTTTCTTCCATTTCCTCACAGTGAATTAAAACACAAAAAACCCTAAACTCAATTAAAAACCCCAACTCCTTACCTTATTGGTAATCCACCATCTCTCTCTGGCAATTTCTAAGTGGGTGCTACTTTTAGATATGGAGTCAAAGAAGTTATTTGCTAATTTAAACCAAAAAAAAGCAGCATATAGTACTTTTTTTTTTCTTTAAATTTTAAAATCTGAATTTTTAAGTAATGCAGGAAGGCAACACTTAGAGTATTTAATCTGTATCTGTGTTACACTGAGTTTTTGCATATAAATATTAAGCCTTCCAAGAATTTCTTCTAAATTCTTTCCCTCCCTTAAAACCCCGTGACAATCCAGAATGTACCTTTCGACTAAAACTAGAGAGAGGTCTCCAATCTCACGCTAATGGGAAACAATGCGGTACAAGATTGCATCAGAAAATTGAGAACTCGTCTTTGCAAACAAGTCCGAGAATTCCCTGGAGAACACAGCGTGGTGCGTTTATGCCCCCAAAGCGTCACAAAGTTACATGTGAAAGCTCTGAAGCAATTCAGCATCTTGGTTAACCACCCTAAACTGATCTAACTTCAAATCACGCTGGATACAAATTGGAAGCTGTTGTCGTGATTTTAAGAGTAATCTTACGATACTGGTAGAGTCAAATATTTCAACTGGTCAACTCAAAAGATGCTTCAGAGCACAAGCTAAAAAAAAACCCCAAACCAACATCAGATAACGGAGCACCTCAGGCAGTGGTGAGGCTGCCTTCGCCATGCTGGTAATATTTATGGCAGCTGATCTCCTGGATTAGCAAAGCCCAAGGGCAGCCATTTGCCTCTAGATTGTTCTGTGGACACAAAACATCAGAGACACAAGCAGGAAAAGTATTATCTTGATCTGCTTCTAAAAGCGGAAGGCATTACTGTCACTTTTACTGCACTTCTTAAGACTTATTTTTAGAACACGATTCCTCTCTCCTGTAAAACTACCAAAAAAAAAAATATCCAAAAGGCAGTGGAAATTGAGAGAAAAACCACCCAGAAATTACGATTTAAACATTTCATTACTGAGTATTGGCAATTCACTTCAAGTTGCCTCTACAGCATATTCAGTGATACATCTTATTGAAATTGTATCCAAAGATTGCTTTAAAAATTACGATTCTTCTTTCAAAAGACTATCAAAACCATAATTTGATCCTTCCCCAATACCCGGGGGTTTCAAGCTGCAATTATTTTTTTTCAGTAGTGGGAGTTCTTTTCCTTTAAGAGTTTGCCTTCCCCTTTGTTAAGCTTCGTTGATCTGCCTAATGATGGATTTAACAAAGTAGGTCCTATAAAGCTAATCAAGAATACCTGTTTCTTAATTACTGAAGACATTAAGACAAGGACAGAAATTTCTACTGTGGGATGGCACAAACACGGAAAGAGGAATCTCTATATCGAAGCACCTTCAAGGACAGTGGCACTACTGGTTTTCACTAACAGCAGTATAAACCATCAGCTTTTTAGAAACCGAGTCTGTAACTCCAGATTCAGTTTCAGAAGCATTTACAAAGAGATGACACTCAATCTGCAAGTTATGTCCTAAAAGGAAACTTCAGGCACTTGGATTAAATGATCTCTAAGGTCCCTTCCAACCTAGGTCATTCTATGATTCTATGATTCTTCTGACATTTTATTCCATAAGCTACATGTCAGAAGCTGCATTTCCCATTATTATTAGTAAAACTCCTCTAATTTTTATAACTACTTTTTTTTTTTTCCCAGATTTTTCAAGAACTAGAGGCAGAGCCTGCTGACATCTGTTGGTTCCCACATACAATGGCTGTTTACTTAGCTTTATATAGTCTTTGCAGCAGGCTCCCAATCCAAAATCCTGATTACAACTTTTGCAGTGAAGGATTTTGGAAGATTAAAAAAAAATAATTAAAAAGTAGCCTGTCCAAATATTTGAGATGTCATAAATAGGAGCCACCTCCAGATCTGTACTACTGATTTAAAAATCTCATCCCAAACCTGCTTCAGAAAACTCCTAGAACAACCCAACTTTTTTCCCCTTAAACTTGTTCAGTTCTCTCCAGAATAAAACTCTAGACGAGAAACAAGCAAAATCCCTCCAGTATTTTGTAGAGGACTCCTCAGCCTGAAGACTGCATCTTTTATCTTGTAACAGCTGTAGTGAAATTACCATAATGTTAAAACCCGCTTGGTTCAAGTAGTGTCATCTACCAAGCCAGCATGTCACCACATGGACAATTAGTAGCCTTTATATTCTAATATAAAACAGACAGCTTCAAAGGGAGAGGAAAACACAAAACCAAAAGAACAACCCACAACTGCCTCCAACGTAGTCTCAGAATACCTTAATCAAGGTTCCTTTTAGCATTTAGGAGCTGAATTATATTTATTTTTCCTGAGCTATGCTAGACTTTGCACGGCAGGGTGGTTCAGAATGGGAAAGAATTAGACCCAAAGCGAGCAAGTTACCCTCTTGCTGTCTGAGAAAGAACATTCTACTGAACAGTTACTTCATTTCTGAACACACCACTGAGAACCATCCTGCAAACAAAGAACGTGCCTGAAGATACTAAAATACTTTCAGTTCTGCTAAAATACTAACAATAGTGTTGAAATACTCCAGAGATTACTTTATTTCCATGGAGCCTTATACCTTCTGGTATGGCTACTGTTTCCACAAAGAACAGATGTGGTAACTTGAGCGTGCTTAGAAGTTTTGGACACACTGTTTGTCTTGAAGGTTGACCTCAGTTTTCCAGGAAAAAACTGGGAAAGCTACTGAATGCTGACTACTTGCCTTTTTGCCTGAAATCCTCGGGTATAGCTATGAGAAAGCTTCTAGGATTAATAATAAACATAGAGTTAGTAACCTTTCAATCCTTTGGTGCTTTTCTAAACTACAGATTTTATGCTCACACCGACAGCAGCAGCATTTAAACATCAGAATCTGCCAAGTTCTTAACAGCACAGTTCACCCCATTCGTAAAGGAGTAGGTGTTTCATAATTTCACACACGAAAACGAAAGCAGCTTCCACCTGTGAAGCCTGGGTCCAGCAGCTGCCGGTGGCAACACATGACAAGTCATTACTAGAAGATGTGAAGAAAGTATCTTCAGCAAAAGACCTCCTAAATTGGGTGCTTAAGGGGAAAGGTCAGAGTTCAAATAAACCTGTAACTACTACTGCGCCTTCATTTCCTACGGCTTACGGCTACGCAGACAGTGAGGCCAGAGCTCAAGGTCTCCTCATCCCAGGGATCTAAATAAATTAGATGGGAGTTCTTACTAAAAGGCTTACCTGACTAATCTCCCAGCCAGTGTAAGGTCCTTCCCCATCCACATGTATCCCACACAATTACAGATGCTCCTTAATGGAAGACATTTCTCCGGAACTGCACATTCATGCCGAGCGTGTGCAGGAATTTCGGTCAAAAGAAGTTCAGCACCTCGTGTCTACAAACATCAGTTATCCAAAATCTGTGCTACAGGGCTTTCTTCCTTCGGAAGCAGAATATGAAATTCCCTGACTCCAGACAAATCAGGTAGTCTTACTGACACAAGGATAAGTTGCAAGGGAGCCCAAGCCCAGTTTTTAAAGATGGTTCTGAAAATAGCATTAAACGGACAATTATGGATGCTGTCGAGCCTCTGAAGGGGACAACAGAGAACCCGACATTCAGAACATCAATCCCACTGCTCTTATAAGCTTCTTTGGTTAATATGCTTGACAAGGT